TTTTCCATCTTTCACTTTCTCACTGACATCAGTGAGTGATGAAAACTTTTTTGATTTACTCAGGCCACTACCATTATTATTGTCCACACTGGAAATGTCAATAGCAGAAGAGAATTTCTGTGAATTCTTCAAACTGACTGTACTCTGTTTAGTTGGGCTGCTTGGTGGTGGAGTAGGAGCAAGTGGATTCCGCAATGCATTAGCATGAACTAGGTAGTTTTGATGTCGAGTGTACTTCCGCTGCTGTCTTTCATCTACATAGATCCTTGGTTTGTTACTCGCTGTCCACAGACTTGTCTCATAGATAACATTCCTATTCCTGAGCACTGGTGGACGAGGTACTCTAACTGGAGCTAGGTTTTCTTCTGATGCGTACCACTGTTTCTGGTATTCATTAACTCGTCTTGTTATACTGAAGGACTGCTCAATCAACTCTTCGTTATTTTTATCCGAGTTCTTAGACACTGGCATAGGAGTGCAACCCTTACCAGCCAGTGTCAAGTTCAACATCAAGTTCTCAACAGATTGGAATGAAGTGAGCCCCTTGGAGACTGGTGTAATCCTAGCAATATTGGGATCACTGGTATCAATGCAACTGATGTCAACTGCAGGAAATCCTCTGTCTCTTCTTTCTGCCATGACTGTGTATGATGTTAAAATGGGTGAGATTATATTAGTGTGTTGATGGGGGGAGAAATTGGAATGACAAGGGGAAATGCATGATGATGTGATTTGAGGAAAGAAAACATTACCGTGCAGTTAGTTAATGTATTAATCCAATGCTAAATCTACCTTAAATGATACAACAGAATTAAGTACACGAAAATTAACAAATTTAAATACAAGTTATAGAATGACAAGAGTTCTTTACAATGTTTCGAGTTCATGAAGAGAGTGACGTTAAAATGTATGACACTTTTCATTCTATAACCGGCTTCAAATATGGCTGCAGTCATAGTTGTGCCTTTCCTGATGGACTTGTCAATCACATGTTAGTTTCACAAGATAACTGGTCAGAAAAAAAATACTGTGACAAATTCTGTTGAATCACCTCAAATGTAATTTAAACTACATCCTAATTAGCACTAAAAATTTCAGACTCAATATTTCTCCAACAGCAGTTAAAAATTTGAATTTTGGTCCACGAGTACCAATAATTCCCCGAAATTATAATTAAGTTATTACAGGTAGTTAAGTTTATCTATAGCTGGTAACATGGTGGCTTTACTAACTATTAATATATGAAATGTTTTTAAAAAGTTGAACAAAATATCTAACAAAAGAAAAAAATCAAGACAGTACCCTGTGCAGTGATTATTAAAGATACATACAGTCTAACATTTGTAGCAATTGATAGAAAAGTTTTGTTATTTGACCAGTTATCTTGGGTAGTTTGAAATGTAATTGACAATTTTACTAAGCTACAAAATGTTTAAGTTACTTTGATGACCATTTTGCCAGATATTTTTCAGTTTGAATCAAGTCTCTGCTATTGATGGCAAAAGTGAATAAATAGTTGTAACCAAATCCAAATGTAATGTCATAAAAACTGGGTTAGCATGGTTAAACCAAATCAAAGTTGATGAAATGTTCATGGTTTTCTGTGCACATTTGTGATTACAAATTTACTTTGCAATTCTTCATGGCAACATCGGGTAGTTGCTATGGATATACAATGTATATACGACTTACCCAGAACATTTGTAAATAGATCGTAATATTCATATGTGAGTAAAGGTTCTGGTAAACTTTGAAAATAGTCGGTGACTGACTTAAAAACATCTCTTTCAAATCCAGGATAGCTTGGAAGACCATCATCAAGTCTGTTTGGCCCTGTCAAGACAACAGATGTATACTTAATTGATAACTGTAGATCATAGGCAGTAACACGATTTGTACATCTTTTCATCATAAGTGTTTTTTATACACACAAATGTTTCTTTCTACAGCATTACTGACAGGTTAAATAGCAAAGAATCTGTTATAGATGTCAAGGAAAAATATGATCCAGGAAAGATAAAATTAAATGTACACAACTGAAAATACTGAATGAATTTCTGTCAAACTTGTGTTGATGACCACCTTTACATGTATATAAAGACCACCTGCTTATTGTGACTACTTCCAGGCAGTCCCATGGCATAACATGCAAGTAACCTGTGTATAAAGCAAATTCTTTTGAAGATTCACCTTTGTTTTAGAGATCAAAATAATTAGCACTGTTCATAAATTTGATTTTAATTTTGCTTTACCAAAATGCATTTTGTTATAGTAGTAGCATCTTATTTTCTGGACAAATATGTCCAATGTACAAGTTGCCTACCCATAAAAAAATAAATTAACCCCCAGATAAAGACCATCTGACCATATAAACAATTTTGATGAACTTCCTTGGGTGGTTGCTATACACAGGTTGACTGTATAAATATCACAGCACAGAGGTAATCACTAACTCAAGCCAGGGTTTCTTTTACCATGTTCAAGAGCATGTGCACATGTGTATTTAGTTGAAAAGAGAGGGATGTTTTTTTGTGTTCTAGAAAGTACCTGCGCAAAGCTTTGTACACGTACATTGTATATACAAGTATGGTATGGTACGGTTCATAAAACTCACAATTAGCAAGACATCTCATTGCAGAAAGAACCCAGTACGGTAAATCCTCTTCCTTGTTCAGTAATGTGACAATTCCATTCTTGTTGACATTGTTAGCATTGTGAATCACATGCTTAGCGATGATTTTTTCACTGCTTATCAGTTCTTCCAATGTGGACAAACCAAGAATTTTCTGCAAACTACACAAATGAGAATATTACAATAGTGCAATTCTGACAACTATCCAATAAATTCCATGTTGCAGTGCACAATTTGTGCTAAAATATCAATGATATAAATTCATTTTCTTACCAACAAAAGTATCAGGATGCAAGGTTATGAAAGTGACATTTGTCACTCACTGAAGCCAAGTAGGTATATGATAAATGTTTGCATAACAATGCATACAATGTGTCAGGGCTCAAAATTCAATAAGGCTATGAAGGTAATTGCTTCAATTTATGCCCTACCTGACTGCCTTGATGACTTATATTTTCACTATAGTTTCAATGAGAGACATTTTTAAGATGTTCAAACAATGGTGTGTTATGTACAATGTACAAAAATGTATTTACAGAAGTAATAGCTACATGTTTACCTGGCTAATGTCATAGTTTTCCATGCATCTTCGATGTCATATTGTGTAATAGTCTTCATAACCAACTTGCATTCAGGAAGTCTTTTACCAACTTTCATTGGACTCTGTTGGAGGTTAGTGATGGTTAATGGCGGCTGACTCTTGGATGGCGACTGTTGAAGGTTTGTCCTGCTAGAAAGCACCGATGATGGCTGCAAAACTTTCGTAGGCGATGTTCTTGTGAACCTATAAATAGAACGTATACAGTTACTGGTTTAGAGATTGAAAAATTAGAAAGCATAGTTATAAACAATTAAACTAATTAAAGTAACTAAATTAAATTAAATTAATTTAAGCGTAATTAATAATGTTTGCCGAGTAATGTCCATTATAGAGAAATTTTTGCTTTCAACAAAGATTCTAAGCAGTTGAATTTTAGCAGATATGATTTTACTAGGATAAGTTTTATATTTCACTGGTGACTCGAAAAATAATTTTATTGCTAAATTGACCCCTTAGGTCAGAAGGCATTTTTGCAGGTCAAATTATACAGATGGAAACATTCAATAATGAAAATGAAGCTTTTGACTTAGTTTACCCACAGTCCCTATTAATATTTACACCATAAATTCTGATATGTATATAGTATGTAAATAATATTGTAATAAAAATTGCAAACTTGTGAACATTTGTTTTTTCATTGTAAAACGTTGTGGAAATCAGTGATGCAACTCATTTTGCAATTTTATTTTCACCAAAAACACCCAGTATTCCCCATAGTCTGGCACATGTGGGGGTGCTTGATTAAGCACATCCTGAAAAGATCATTTTTGAGCCAAGTACAAATTTACACTAAGTCAGATGATTAGTACAGTAATAAGCCTGATACAATACCTGAATAAGTGACCATCATCCTCAAAAACTGTTTCTTTATACTCTTTCCGCCTTACTTCATGGATAATATTGCTTTTAACAAATTTTCTCAGCAGTTGAATAGTTTGTTGTCGTGTGACTTCTGGGCCAAAGTTGATGTTTGCCCTCAGATGGTCATGTAACCAATCTACAGCGTCTGATGCAGTGAAGCAGTTATCATAAAGGCGAACTCGCCATCTGTGTTTTTTCAACGGCATTCCAGATCGGAATACTTGGATTAGATCATTCCACTGGTAGAAGATAAAAAGGGTCAATAGAGATATTTACAAGACACTTATTTAAGTTTGTACCTATATCACTTCTTACTGTAGTTGTACAGAGCAGAAGAAAATCAAATTGACAATTTTTTTATATCATTGCATTGTTGAAAATCATGTACATTGTAATACGAGGATACCTCAAAGTATGCAAGAGAACAGTACAGGGAGAGTATATGACGGCATACTTTGAAGTATCCTCATAATAACTTAATATACATCTTTTCCTTCCTAAGCTTCATCATGGGAATGCAGAAATCTTTTTAAAAAAAATATAGTTTGTTTTTTTAATATTCAAGAAACAAATTTAACTCTTGTGGAGTACTGTAAGCCACTTTAATTTCGTGCAAGATACATTTTCACTTATTTCGTAAATTCAGTAAAAATCCTGTAGCAGTGAAAATTTCACTGTATTTCATTGACTGTAAAACTGTTTACACAGAAGCCATTATATCCTGAAATCTCGAAGATTTACAGACTACTCAGTCAGTCAGGGAATTATTTTGTACCGCAGCCCCCCAACCCCACTACTGTCGGCCGACTTTGGTCTTACCTATGCATGCGTGACCAGCATTGCCATTGTTGCACAAAAGGTGTCAATGCATCCGACCATCATCTCATTAAAGGGTTGATACAGTTTTGTTTATGGGGGTGTTTTGCAACAACAAACAATAGTCGGACATCCCAATTTGCAAGACTTCACGGAATATTCATGCATTAGGCGCGGCGTTAATGAGAGAAAACACGTATACCATCATTTACCACTATTGGGGGATAATGGTAACAAATACGTCAATCGAGTTGTACGTGTGCGTTGAACAAATTTGAACACATTCGGATTCATGACAAGGCTTGCTTGCAGCTTCAGTTCCGAGACGAACGACAATTGCATACACTACTAATTGTGTAGGCCGAATAACTTACCAGTCTTGTCGCCCTAAAGGGACCCATAGTTGGACCACCCTGCTGCAACATTTGGAGTAATTTCCGTATAAGTAGCACCAGATAACGTACGTGAAATAATGAAGAATCGACTTTTTCGGTCTCAAGTCGCCATTTTGCATTCAGGGTTTTAAAAAGCCCGCATTCACGTTGATTGGGTAGTTTTCAACACGTGGCAATGGAACACATTTTGATTGGGTGGAGCGAATGCTCTCTTTTTAATACTTGGTCGTAAACGGCGCACTTTTCAACCGGCTGAGAATTTCCCAGGTTCCAACGCGGTACACTAAAATGGCAGCCATGGAGGGACCACTAAGTAAATGGACAAACGTGATGAAAGGATGGCAATACCGCTGGTTCGTCTTAGATCCTCAAACTGGTCTTCTCTCGTACTATACAGTAAGTGTGGCACTACATTTTATGTGTATGTGATAAATACATCTGTGTATGAATGCCAGAAGGATCGATCTAAACGTGACATACCGTGTTCTTCAGAGCAATGATCCAAATTGAAAATCAAAGACATTATCTGTTTTGCCGGTTTATTCCGTACACATGTCCTGAACTGAGTGTGATCACAAATCTGTTGGTTGGAACTTGAACTGTACAGATCATCAATTTAACTTTTTTTTTATAAAATAATTTTTTAAAATTTAAACTCCATCTAAATTTAAGGGGCGTTTTTTTTGTCGTACATGTATGATGCGGCTCAGGTCAAGCCGGTAACATCTAAACACGCGAGGTTATGAATGAATGATATTACAGTGATTTTGTAAATGGTGTCAAGACAAATTAACTCCCCGAATGTCCATGTTTAATGAAAACCATCTCAGAGAAAATATTTACTAGTGCAAACTCAAATTTTGAAACCTCATAATATCTCATTTTTGTATGTGCTTAGGGTATTAAAACTTCTTCTATGGAACTATTATATTGTCATGACTACCGTAATAATTAGAACTGGTCTATATGATAATCTCTTGTAACACTCATTTGTACATTGTGAGTCACTCCTGAATATATAAGTGGCGTTCACGTTAGAGATCTCGGCACGTGCTGAGACTCGGGACCGAGTCGGCACGTGCCGAAAATTGTGTGTGAACGGTCGGGACCAAGTCGGCACGTCCCGAAAAGAACTCGATCTCGGTCCCGATGGATGCTTGGAACCGAAACTCGGCACGTGCCGAGATTTG